ACGTGTTATAGTGTTGACGTTAACGCGTCGGAGCAAAGTGGCCGACTCGCTTGGGTGGCCGACTCGCTTGTGAACCACGTTATGCAGAGAGTTATTGAATAAGAGAAAGAAATGGTTCATCCAAACTGAGTATGTGTAGTGGCGAGGGATGTGATGTCATTAGCTAGCTCTACCTTTTCTTTCAATAGACATACATTGTAAAGATACGAATAGGAAAATATGCTTCATTATTGTTGGGTAAGCGAGGGGTCGTGAGCAGGCGAATGTATGGTAGCAAGTACGTACTGACTACCTAAATGCAGGGTTAGGGTTGACTTTTGTGTATGAGAGCTAATATTTGCTCCATATACGAATGCGCACCACTTTCGAAAAACACACTATATAAGTGCAGCAGTCTCTGATACATAGAATGAGAGATGATTTAGATAAAGCCAAGACTAAGACAGCGGGAAGTAATATTTCGCATCTAAAGCTTAGGTGTTCATCCTTCTCTTTCCAATGTCAACAAGTAGCCTATACGAATGAAACGATGCATATTGCAATCTTTCTCGAATCCCACTTTTGTTGTCGGCATGCGCAGGGGTACCTAGAGGACGTTCCCTGTCGTTCCTGTGGGTTGGACTTTGAAGCTAGACCATGTTAAGTGTTTCATCCACTAGGTATTACTAGCGGATCTAACCAATGCTCGAACAGAGACATCTAAAGTATCTTCGTTTGAATCTCAATGTATCACGTCTTGTTCGCAACATATCCGTTGCGTACCAAGCAATGCAGTTGAAAGACTCCAAAACCAAAAAGATGCCCCCAATAATGTTAGCATTGACCACAGTCTCGCTCCCCGAAAGACATACTTCAGGGACCGTGTCTAATTCGCACTGCCCATAAAAAGCTTCCTGTTCGAGGTAGGCTTGGCGGTTTGCGGAACTGCTTCTAAATTGATCGCTCATATCTGTGAACAAGCAGGGGCAGGGGCATCTAGCATCCTCGGAGACTCTTCGAGTGCGCCCTTGGTCTAATCCAAGTCCGACGCGACTTAGATTGATATTTCGTCGCAATAATTCGTATGGTGCCACAGAGTCGGTACCCAGTAATGAGCAGCCCAATTGGCGCCATCTTCGGAACTTTTATTATCATGGGGCCTTGATTGGCGGGGCCCTTGCCTTCAACCCCACATAACGATGATATTCCTATCTCAACTTGCTCATTGGAGAGCTGATGTGATACTCCTCACATTCATCGTCACATTTATCACTATTGTACTGAGGATTACGAAGCTGACACTGTGCAGTGAACATCGATTGTGTCATGAGCTTGTTCATCGTCCTGGGAATCCCACCAATTGCATTCTGCGACCCAAGAGGGGTCGAGAGTTGCCTTCTGAGAACCGGAAAGACATGGCACCTCGGGAGTCTTCTTGGGTTAGCTTGAACGGGTAGATTCGTGTGGCGGGTTATTGGTGGGTCTATTGGTGGCGTGCTTCTGGTTGCACATAACGTTGTCCATGTTATCGCCCAAAAAGAGTTGGACAATTTACATCAGAGAAAAATATCCCTAAATAGCGCCGAGATTGTTATCAGTGCAACAGAGAATAACCGCCACGCAGCGGTCAACGAATGTGCAGAGTGAAGAAGCCCATCAGCTGTCAAGTGCTTTGGTTGCGATGCTCCGGGCCGGCCAGAACATCAAAGCGTTGCGATGGAAGAGTTACTCCTATAAGCTTTATTACCTTCCAGTATAGTCCATAGTGCGTTGTGTAATACAACAATACATCGGTCGTCTCTAACCCGAGGGTAATGTACGGAAAAACCCCACTTTACCGTGTATGCATGAAGATCCCCTTCCAAGACTCGTTTACACTGGTGCCCCTGGTTTGCCGAGCTGGCGCCAGGCGATTCCAAGTAAGTGTCTTTGAAGCACACCACAAACATAGGTTCTTGCGTGCAGATTGATAGCCGGTTAGGTTACCCCAAACGTCATGGTCGACCGGTTGTTCGTACACGTCTGCTCGGTTGAAGGAGCATGAAGCCGGATAAACGGATGGAAGATCCAGATACATATCAAAGGTATTCTGTGCCGAAATGAAGCAGGCCAAACTTTCTAGCTGGTTGCGACAGCTTCCGCTCTTTTTCTTGTCTCAAAATGAGAAAGGCTGTTGTCGGCCTAGCTGGCCTTCTCAGCTACACATTCGCACAAACCAGCTCTGTGAAAGTCAGTTGGATTGACGAAACACCCGGATACCTGGATGGAACTACATTTGGTGTACCTTGGCCTCGTGGACATCACCCGGCAAATAAAACAACCTTCACAATCGATGGCGATGCGAGCTTTCAGTCATGGGTCACTGCGTATTGGCCTGATGGCAGTTTGAAATGGACCGGGCATGCTCTAGGGGCCAGCGATTCTCCTCTCGATCAATATACCATCACAGCATCAAGTTCAAGTGATCCGACTTCATCTCGTCTTAGGAAGCGTGGCGACGGTATCCAAGTTAGCGACTCCGATGACGAAATCGTAGTCGACAATGGAAAAATCACTGCAACATTTCCTAGATCAGGAAATGTGCTTGTTTCTAGCATTAAATCCAATGGAAAGACTGTCGGGACAAATGGCCATCTTATCTTGCGATCCCAAACTGGCACCCCGGATGACAATGACGACGGCAAGCCTATTGGCATCGACTACTTTAGCTTTACCAGCAAGATCTCCAACGTCACTGTATCTGAGGAAAACACTGCTCGTACGCTTGTCACAGTCAATGGTGTTCACACCATAAGTGGAGATGGTACCCATCAGGACTGGCTTCCGTTTGCCGTGCGCTTCTACCTTTATGCCAACTCTGAAGCGATCCGCATCATCCATACAATCATCTACGATGGTAACATGTACAGCGACTTCATTTCTGGTATCGGTATTCGATTCGATGTGCCTTTGGCTGAAGAAAAATTTTACGATCGCCACGTTCGTATCGCAGGCGTCGATGGTGGAATCTTACACGAAGCGGTTCAGGGCATCACAGGTCTCCGCCGTGATCCAGGCCAAGATATCAGAGCAGCGCAATACAACGGCACAAAACTTCCAGACCCTTCAACTTGGGACCAGCGCGTGACCACCCGTCTACAATGGATCCCGACATGGAGTGATTATCGTCTCACTCAACTCTCTTCAGATGGCTTCAACCTCAAGAAACGCACCAAGGCCGGCCAGAGTTGGGTGAAGATCCCAGACGGAACGAGATCAGGTGGTCTTGCTTACCTCGGTGGCGCAGCTTCTGGTGGCCTTGCTGTTGGTCTACGCGATTTCTGGAAAAAGTATCCGACTAGCCTGGACATCTCCAATGCTGCCACGGATACAGGATCTATCACTATGTGGCTGTACAGCCCACAAGCAGGACCTTTGGATATCCGACCGTACCACGATGGGCTTGGCGAGGATACTTATAAGAAGCAGCTTGATGCTCTTGAAATCACCTACGAGGACTGGGAATCGGGTTACGACAGTCCAGTAGGTATCGCGCGCACCAACGAGTTGTACATCTATGCTTTCGACACCACTCCCTCGGCTGAGAAGCTCTCCGTGCTCACCAACTTCACGAATAACCCGCCAGTACTCATTCCAGAACCTAAATACATGGCTGGCACCAAAGCACTTGGATCCTATTGGGGCGTTCCAGGCGCAGTTAACTCTGCCCAAGGTCAAACCATTGAAAAGAATATGGATTTTCTCATCGGTTTCTACAAAGATCAAATTGAACAAAGACGCTGGTATGGCTTCCTTGATCATGGCGATATTATGCACACCTATGACAATGACCGCCATCAGTGGCGATACGACATTGGTGGGTACGCCTGGGACAACTCGGAACTATCACCCGATCTCTTCTTCTGGGACTACTTCCTCCGCACCGGCAGCCCCGACGCCTACCGCATCGCTCACGACCAAGTGCGCCACGGCGGCGAGGTTGATTCGTACCACATTGGTAACTTCACCGGTCTCGGTACGCGACACGGCGTCCAGCACTGGAGCGACAGCGCCAAACAAGCCCGTATTTCGACACCAGTATACCGTAAAACCTTCTTCTATATTTCCGGCGGCGATGAACGAACAGGCGACCTTGTCCGCGAAGTCCTAGACGCAGACCAAGCCTTCCTCCGCGTAGACGCTAGACGCAAAGTCCGTGACCCAAGCATCATATACAAGCCGGACCCCACCGCGCTCTTCCTCAACTTCGGCACCGACTGGGCCGGCATCGCACAAGCCTACCTCATCGAGTGGGAGCGCCGCGGACCCCGCTGGCAGGACTCGTACAACAAGCTCGTCAAAGCCATTACTTCGTATCCCAAGCTAAAGAACGGCTTCGTAACCGGCGAGGCATTCTACAACAGCCTAACAGGCGAATGGGCGCCTCCTCCTACCGATCTGAACAACACGGGCCAAATCACCGTATCCCATCTCTCCGGCGTTTTCGGCGTCCTCGAAACCATCGATCAGCTCATCGACCATTTCGGCCCCGAACAACGCAACTTGACCAAGCCGTTCTTCGACGCGTTCCTGGATTACTGTTACTACTATGGCGCGAGCAAGGCGGAGCAAAAGGCCCGGTACGGCAATGACTTTGGAACTCTGAATTTGAAGCAGGGTCACTCGCGGTTCACGGCGTATGTTGCTCACCACAGGAATAATGCTACGCTTGTGCCGCGGGTATGGTCTGAGTTCCTGGGTGATGGAAGCAAAGATGGACTTGCACCCAACGCGCCGTGGAAAGCGGTTAGAATCGATGGGAGTGATGCGTTGAGTGCGGTGGATGAGGCGACTTGGGTTAGTACGAATGCAGCGGCCTTGTATGGAGTTGCTGGAATTGAGAATTTGGCGCTTGTAGGACCGCCGGATATAAATATTATTGGGGGCGGTAATGCTACTAGCAAGAGATGGGCATAGTTGATTTGTATTGGGTATGATTGCATTGGTTTAACGATTTAACAAAGAAAGAGAAAACTCCTGTTTTACACGCGTAGAAGTCCCTTGCCGTTTGGTTCGTCTGTCCCAAGTGTGTAGATGGTATGAATGCCAGCAGGGTCACCGACGTCAGTTGGCGACTTTTTGGGCACGCCCATGTCTTTTTCCTTGACCTTAAACTTCTCAGGATCCAAGCAGGCAGCTGATTTGCCACCTCGGTTGTTGCTTGGACGGTAGTCGGTATGACTTTTGAGTCGCCTGAAAAGCGAGTCGTGTAAGAATGCGCCGTCGGGAATGTCTCGTGCCGAACACTTATTAAAAGGCCATGCGATATAAGCCCACTCATGTCCCAAACCACCTCTGGTCAGTTGCAATTCCCAACGTCGAATTGGTAGATATTCTGTTCAGATTCGTTAGCTGAGTGCAGACTCGAAGCGTGCGCGTGGCTTACCCATGAAATTCCAGAGGATGACCTTGAATAGTGATGAGCCACCTCCGACCTTGAGAGTGTCATGCATCGTGCCCTTGTAAGCCTGTTCCTGCTTCTTATAGAAATGCTTCTTGAATCCGTCTTTCCTCTTATTCCATTTAATTGCTGCTGCTGGTTCCTGTTCTCCGATGATTTCCAATTCACGGATCATCCAAGCAAGGGGTATGTCACTCATTTGATAAGGATCAGTACCAGGGTTGGATGCGTAATCGTCGTTCGAAGATGTGAAGATTTTGCGCCACCAGCTTCTCGTGTCCGGCACAGCTGGCCATCCTCCACCGACGTCGCCGTGATTACCGGGGAACCAAACTTCCTTAACATCTTCATCCGTAGTGTGAGGGTGGGATACGTCTTGGTGAAGCAAAGCGGCTTTGAACTTGACACGGTGCTCGTCGACAGCGACGGCATGGCGAACATGACGGGCAGTTCCCGCAACTGATACGGCTTTGGGAGCTTTGCCAAATGGGCTGTCCAAGACGGAAACACTGCTGACGCAGTCAAACATGCCCAGGAAGTGCACTTTGATGCCCGAATCATCTGCGCCCTCTGAACGGCAGAACGTCGCTTTGAACGCATTGAGCTTGTTCTTCCTTAGCTGTTGCTCATCAGGTTCTGAGCATTCGTGCATGTCAGAGCCACCGTCAATGAGAGGGTCGGTTTCGTGGCATCCATGCGCTCCATCTGTGGCAGGCGAAGAATTTTTTCGTTCCTGGTCGGGGACATTCAACTTTCCCTTCTCGTAATCCTGGTATAGATCATATGCGAAAGGGACCATTTCTTCATTGCCTTCAGAGAGTAGGCCAACTCTGTAAATCATGCGTGCAAGGAAGCGAGCGGTAAAAGCACCCCTCGAGAAGCCGAAAATGTAAATCTTGTCACCCTCCTTGTAGTACCGCATGATGAAGCGGTAGCCTGCAATTACGTGAGCATCAAAGGTTGTAGCAAAGCCACTATCCATGGTTTTGGTGATTTTTGAGCGGATAGAGCCCAAAAAAGTCTTGTTTACAGGGCCTCCATCGACATTGTATGTGCCAATACCAGCTGTGGAGTTGGATGTCTGGTCAGTATAGCACTACAAAGAGTTTGAGGGTTGCTTACTTTGGTAGTAGTGGTACTGCAAAGGGTCCCTTCTGTCAAACTTGTCGAAGAGTTTGACTATGTTGGTGTCTGAGGTGTTGCCGTTAAAGACGTTTCCCGTGCCATCGAAGCATAGAACGAGCTTCCTCGGTTCTTGTCCAGTGGACTGTCCAGTGGAATGAGGCATAGTAGCAGTTGTTCTTCTTGTAGTCGAAGGAAGTGATGTATTCCTCAGATAGCAAAAAGATATGCTGTAGTACTGAAAGCGAGGGGACGAGAAGACGACGGGTATAAAAGACCAAATTATTAAACCTGTACACCAAGAACTTCTTAGAATTAATAACTTTCTTGGTGTGCTCTCATCGGTAGGTGAGAAGGTTGACAGCGCACTTATACAAAAGCAAGCAAGGGAGGAGTGGATGCATAGTGTTATATACGTGGCGAGGTATGGATGGCATTGAAATCTAGAATTCTACTCACACGACACCATGTTGCAGGAAGATGGAAAGAATGGCGAGTCAGGAATGGTTTGAAAGGAAACGGCTGCACGAATTACGTCCGTGCATTCGATAATGCTTTTTCTAGACAGCTGTGCGCCTGCACATCCACAGCTGATTTTAAGGGTAGGCTCGGTGTGATAAGGCGGTAAGAAGCCAATCACGCACTGAAAATATCCAATCAGAGGAGTAACAGAAGAGACCGTTAATGCGTGCAAAGTCAAAGCCTTGTTCCTTTTGCATACTGAAATCTCCTTGGAGAGGAGAGCCGAGTTGTGGCTGGCGGAGATGCCGACTAGCGGCGGGATCCCTCGGATATGGCACCAGCCCGACGCCTTCATTGCCATAATTGGCGGTTTTGGTCAAGGTATAGCGAGATCTGGGGTGTCACAAACAAAAGCAGTTGGGTGAAGAGGGGCATCTGATCTGGGCTCAGCCTTAGCGATGGGGCTTAGAACTGCCTGCCAGTTCAATCCACAAACAACAACAACCATAGTCGGTTGAGGTGTAACGATTGGCCGGTGGTAGAATGTAATAAGTTTACCTCTTGTGTATTTCAAAATGAATTCTGGGTATAAACCCATGCAAAACTATACGTATTGCATGTCTTCACATGCGATAGAACATACAAGGGTCCTAGTCAAGTTAGCGACCCCTAAGTACACCCCAGTCCACACCCCTGCATGTCCTGTAGGCGACGACATCCACATGTGAGTACGAGAAGATGGTGTTGAGACAATCCACACCTGCCTTACATCTAGATTTTGCACCGACCTTGGAGCCTGGGTCGGAGAGGGCGAAGGACATTGCTCCGCTCACCTCAGTAAAGGCGACCAGTGTTAAGGGTAGCGCCACCAATAAAGCCTCTTTCTTACATGCCGCCTAGCCCTCCAGCCTCGGCCGCGCGAACATGTCCCCACACGATTGAAATGCCATTGTAGCTGAGGATAGCTGACCATAGCTGAGGATTAGCGGTGCCTGGACCTTTGGAGGCTTGCGTACGAGATGCGTAGATTACCCCCCTTGTTCGTTACCCCTATCCCAACTTGGTCGTTGACACAGTAAGAATGGATGCGGCTGTGCTGACTAGTCCAGCTTCATTCGTACTGTGTTGAAGCCACAGCGCCGAAATGGGATGAGGCTGGCGAGAGCTATCCAAGCGATACCTCCAAATACAATTTCCTTGAGAATAGCGTCGAACAGATTGAGACGAGACCACTCGCCACTCACTACTACCCGGCATGTGCTAGTACCCAACTGCCGATGGAAGCTGCAATCACATCCCAAGTCTTAGTCTCGACTGGGCTGGTACACCATACGCGAAGTCGATACGAGCAAAGAAAATAGCTCATAGCATTGACCTAGACCAAGGGCTTTTTGCCTCGATGGCCTTTGAGGAAGACGCTTTCAATGAGACTCGCGTAGGCATCTTGCTGATCGTATCCCGTCATGATTTTGTCCTAAGCGACGTCATTTTCTTGGAAATCAAAACAAGCACTAGTATGTCAGAAACATTTCCATGCTTTAGTTGATACTACTATATTTCTCCAACACTGTTATACAATTTCTATCAAGCAAATTGATCAAATAAACCCAAAATGTACACGTTATTAAATATTTCACAAAACTCCTTCAACATCTTGAATCCATGCTCTAACGCAAACCCCAACTTGTCACATCATTACAGCTGTTCACCACGCTCAAGCCCATTATCCCCTCCTCCAAACCCAACTATACTATTAACAACCCCACCGTATAGCACTGCATTAATGTTCCCCAACCCCAACCCATTACGTGTCTCCTCCATATCTAAAAAATGCGTGTCGCAAATTTCTCCCCCATTTGCCTCATGTCCACACTAAAGAAAAGCCCATCAACCACTACCCCGACGCCTCTTTCCCCAGATTGCCTGCCGTGCATCCCTCTCGCACTCCTACTAGCACTGCACCGGCACTTCTTCTCCCTGCCCCTCCGACATCTTTCTTCCT